TTTCTCAAGCTAGCCCTAATCTGGCCCAAGACCTCTCCCTCCACCACCTTCCCCCTCCTCCTCTCCTCCTCCTCCTTCCCCCTTCCCCCGACCCCCTCCTCGACTCCGTCCCGCCTCCCCCCTTCCTCCCCTCCCCTCCCCTCTGCGTCATCTCTGACAACCCCTTGCCTTCCGCCATCGAAGGAGGCAACGGCGATAAGACAAGCGGCGTCATCTCAAATCTCACTCGCCTCATCCTTGGAGGCATCGTCAAGCCTATCCAAGCCCTGGGTCAGATCTTGAATAAGAGATCTGTGGAAGCTTCGTCGTCGGCTTGCTCTCTAGTTTTGTTAAAAGTTTCGCATCACTCGCCAACCAAGGTCTTGAAGAACTTTAAGGAGATTCGGAGGCTGAGGATCGAGCTTCCAGCTGGTGAGCTCGGGGTTGAAGATGGATCTCTTTTGAAATGGAAGGCTGGTTTTGTGCAAATTGACAATATTGTTGTAATCTTGTATGCTCTTAATTTGTTCTTTGCAATCTTGTATGCTCTTAATTTGTTGTAATCTTGTATGCTCTTAATTTGTTCTTTGTAATTAACAATACTATTGGTTTTGTGCAAATTTAAAGTTTGGACAGTTAACAGAGTTCATCTGTTTATAAAATATGACGGTTTCATGTCACTTATGTTGTTTTTATGTGACGTTTATGCATTCTGTGTGACATATGCTACGTGTATGTCACATATACTTGTTTCCTATGACATTTTGATATTATGTGTGATATATGTTGTTGTTATGTGACATTTTTATATTATGTGTGATATATTCTCATTATCCATGATATATACTGTTGTTATGTGATATTTATACATTACAGTGTGATTTAACCTCTTTTCAGCTGTAGAATGTGAGACTTCAAGAGTGCTCTCCATGACCCATCAAATAGAGTATGACTATTAGAAGCTTTTTGGAGAAGAAGGGTAATGGGAAGAACAAGCAGATTCAAGAAGAGTTATACTCTATTTGATGGGTTGAAATCATTTGGGGGGATAGTTTTAATATAATAATAGCTCAATTTTAGGGAGATGACAGAGGATTTGTACTCAATTTTGGAGAAAGAAGAAGAAGAAAAAGATCTGATTTGTGATATTTAGATGTTGAGAAGGAGGAGGTTGAGAAGGCAATGAGGCAGATATGTGACTTTTGAGAATCTATTTATACGTGACACATGGCAATAAGGTAAGGAGGATGTGGAATGACTCTATTAGATCTAAATATCACATACAACAAATTATAGTCATGTATCACGTATAAACAAATTACAGCCATGTGACAAATAAGCACATTCACTATCAACAAATTACAGCCAAATATCACATACAACACCCAAATGTCACATCTAAATAACAAATATCACAAGCAACACCCAAATATCACAAATTACAATCAAATATCACATACAATACCCAAATGTCACATACAACAAATTACAGCCATGTGTCACATATAAACAAATTACAGCCATGTGACAAATAAGCACATTCACTATCAACAAATTATAGCCAAATATCACATACAACACCCAAATGTCACATATAAACAATAAATATCACAAGCAATACCCAAATATCACAAATTACAGCCAAATATCACGTACAATACCCAGATATCACGTATAATCAGCAAATATCACAAGCAACGTCCAAATATCACATACAATACCCAAATATCACGTATAAATAACAAATATCACAAGCAACACCCAAATATCACATATAACACCTAAATGTCACGTATAAACAACAAATGTCACATAAAAACAACATATATGACATGAAACTGTCATATGTCATATGAAACTATCATATATCACATAAGCAAGTTGATTTCCATAAAAGGACACCTGGAGCAATTCCAAGTTGGCTTGTCACATGAAGGACAAACAAAATTTTATAGCAAAAGTAAACACGTTGACTTCCATTTCCTTATCAAACTTTACATACCGATGAACTATGTTAACCGTCCAAACGATAAATTTGCACAAAACCAACTATACTAATAACCACATTGGAAGAGATTCCATCAAGGCTTCTCAACCTCTTCCTCTTCCTCCCCAATCTAAGCCCACACATCTGCCTCATTGCCAATCTAAGCTCACACATATACTTAATTTTGTACTCTATTTGATGTGATATTTCAATGTTATATGTGACAATTTAATCCTACATGTGCCAGTTCTACCTTATATGTGATATTTAGATCTGATTTGTGACTTTTGAGTATTACATGTGATATTGAGACCTCATATGTGACGTTAACGTACCTCATATGTGACGTTAACGTATTATATATGAACGTTAGATGTGTACTTCATCTAAAATATATATTTCTAGATGCGTACCATTCTAGATGTGTACTTCATCTTGTTGAGAATTATAAATTAAAGTGGCAATACTCTATTATATGTGACTCTTATCTGTGTTCTGTGATATTTTGCTGTTATTTGTGACAATTGTCGTTTATATATGACACTTGGTTGTATTTTGTAGTTAATTATTGTTTGACACATAGATGAAGTACACATCTAGAATGGTACAAGAAATTACAGTCCCAACCCACAGATGAAGTACACATCCAGAAAGATCACCAAGAAATTACAAATGCACATTTTATCATTTACAAACAGCTAGTAAACATCCAACATCCAACATATAAAATAGTTACATGTGTTTGTCTAATACTTCCACTCAATTAATCGTACATTATTACCCCCAAAGTACAAAAGATATTCTGGATCGCTAATATCTAACTTCAATCGCAACTTCTTCCATTCACCACATTCGCATATGATTTGAGCAGCAAGTCCTGCTCCTAACATCTCAGGCTCCCTTTGCAATGCTTCAATATTCATTGTCTTCCTTCCCTCTATGATCACCTTGATGAAAAAATATGCATGTATGCCACAATCATATCTGTAAAAATATCACATAACACTTAAACTGCAACATATATAACTGGTAACAAGAATATATTACATAGAATGTAAAAATATCACATAACAATAGCATATGTCACACAGAATACTAAAATATCACATAACAGCAGTATATGTCACACAAAATACCAAAATGTCACATAAAAATAGCATATGTCACACAGAATACCAAAATATCACATAACAGTAACATATGTCACACAGAATACCAAAATATCACATAACAGTAATATAAGTCACACAGAATACCAAAATGTCACATAACAGCAGAATATATCACTCAAAATATCACATAACAGCAGCATAAGTCACACAGAATACCAAGTATCACGTATATGACACAAACGTAAAAGGGGATTATCTCAAATTTTTATTGATCTGTAACTCGTTACACAAAACCAACCTCATGCATTGTTCACAAACACAGAAATTTACATGTTCTTATTATCATCATCTCAAGAAATCAACTTAAAGGGTTCATCTTTCTTCTTATTATTATCATCATCTTTCTTATTATTATTATTATCATCATCCCATGTCCTTCGTAGAACGGTATCCTCCCCGGCACGTGCGGGGTCACAACGAGGCCGAGATTGAGCACACCATGGAACTGACCCGAGGGCTGTCGGATGCCGAGAGCACGCCATGCTTCTTCTACAACATTAGCCACTATTTCCTCTAGCACGTAACTACTAATTACTTTTGTTTAATTACTCGAGTCACAAATCCCTTTCTGTTAGTGACCAGGCTCCCTAACCCAAGCCTTCTTAGCTTAACTATCAACAAGAAATCAATCAAGTAATGCTGAAATAGACAATACAATCACAAACAATAAACATCAAAGAGAGGATGCATAATAAGTCTCTTAAATTTTAATTATTCAAATAACAATCCACCACACACTCAATTCTTCAACCAATCTAAAATCCTCTAGTTTCAGTGATCTAATCTTCTAACAAACCCAAATCCCACATTCTACAGTTTCGGCGATCTAATCTTCCAACAAGCCCAAATCCCAAAATTCTCCATCAAACCCTAGATTTTAACAAAAATCTTAGAAATTAGGAGATTGGAAGTTAAAGATTGGACATTTGGTTAGGGTTTCCGCTGTTCAGTGACCGTAGTGAGGATCAGAGCTGTTGATGCGGTTGTAGGCGGCCTCGCCGACGAGGTAGATGCCGAAGGTGACGAGGGCGATGCCGAGGCTGGGCGTCGCGTGGCGGAGGTTGCTGGTGCGCGATGGGTGCTTCCTCCACTTGGTCGATGCGGGCCATCGGATGTCGAGGGCGATGAACAAGGGGGTTCGAGAGAATCGGTGAGGGGAGGGGAGGAGGCGGACGGAGCCGAGGAGGGGGTCGGGGAGGAGGGGAAGGAGGAGGATGAGAGGAGGAGGGGGAAGGTCGTGGAGGGAGAGGTCTTGGGCCATATTAGGGCTAGCTTGAGAAAGGAATTGAGTTTTAAATGGGAAAGAAGGGTAAATTGGGAAGGGATTTCTTGGGCAGTGGGAGAAAGGGGTTGGTTGCACTAATATTGTAAATTAAGGGTTTGAGGGTTATAGTTTTGGGGCTGGGGAGGAGGATGCATGAGCTAACTATTTTTGGTTCCTCCAAGCAATTTTCCCTTAAGAAAATCAATTTCCTTATTTTTTTTGAGGAAATTGATAGAAATGAATTTTTAATGGGATGAGATAAGTTGTCACCATATTATTGGATGATGTTGATGATTTTTAAATATGAGATGAGATGAGTTGGATGATGTGACTCATTTTTTTTATTTAGTTTATTTTTAAAAGTATGAGATGAGATGAATTATTGGATGAAAATAATGTTTTATTAGATGATATGACTAAAATTTAAAAATAAAAATAAATAGAAATAATATTTTATTGATTTCCATGTTCTAATTTTCTTTTCTTGATTTATAGGAAACCAACCAAACAGCCCCTAACCTCTGCCATCCCTTGGTTAGCGTTTGAGCCGATGGGGATTTGTGCTGATTTATTGGAAC